CACTTCAGTTGGCCCAACTATTGAAATCTTAGTTTTTTTCATATCAAACACAAATAATAAAAATGTAGCAGGGTGTTATAGGTTTAAAATATTAACAATGAATATTTTGATAATATATAGTAGAAAACACCAACTTTATCACTCCCTAATCAAATTTGCAGCATAAAAATAACACATGTTGCAATTACAGCATATCAACCTATTTTTATTTCAATGAAAAGTAAGTCTATAACGCATAGGTGGCTGTGAAAAATAAAAGCCATGACAATTGTTTTTATTAAACACAGCTGTCAGAATAAAATAGTTGTGGGTAGTTAAGGTTTTCAAAATGGGTAGAGGAAAGGTTATTAGTGAGAATTCGGTTACTGATAATTAATTTTTTTAATTCTTGGAAATCAAACTCAGAAATTGCAACTTTGTTAGACTTATCGCGGTACAGTGTGAGAAATATTGTTAGAAGATATAACGTAACTGGTTCAGTTAATATTAAGCCACGATATATGAAAAAAGTAATATCACAAATGCCGACCGAAGAGCATTAAGAAGAATAATCGTAATTATCGTAATTTTGAGGTCCACAACTCATAGAGAGGCCCACAAACTGGGATTTAGCACCTGCAAGGTAAGTTTTCTTATAAAAAAAGTGAAGTAAAAACCCTAAAGTTGCACAACTTGTTTAAAGGCCAAAGAAAAGCCACTATTAACTCCACTGTAAAAGAAAAATCGGCTAAGATGGGCTAAAGAACATAGACAATGGACACCTCAACAATGGTGTGCAATACAATGGAGTGATGAGGCCCGATTCGAAGTTTGTGTTGGTGACAGTCGCAGTAGAGCTATTCGCAAAAAAAATGAAGCATTCCATGTTGACTGTCTGAAGAGAAAAGTGAAATTTGCAGCATCCATTATGGTCTGGGGCAGTATGTCATCAAAAGGAGTAGGAAAACTTCATTTCATTGATGGAAATGTGGATACAAACAAATATTTGGCAATTTTAGAAGAATCGCTTTTACCAGTGATGGAAGAATGTTTCAACATCCTGCCAAGATGGTGCAGCGTGCCATACCTCAAAAAAGGCTATAAAATGGATGGAAGAAAATAATGTACCACTTTTGAAATGTCTTGCAGTCCAGATCTGTCACCTATTTAAACTTTGTGGCACGAGATGAAAAAGGTTCTACGACAACATCCTGCTCGTACAATCACCGAACTGAGACAAAAGCTTCAAGAAATATGCGATTGTTTTACACCAAATTTTTTCCAAAATTTGTTTAACACTATGCCCCCAAAGAATTTCAGCCGTAATAAAAAATAAAGGTGATGTTACCCAATGGTAATCTTTCAATTGTTGCTTTGTTAACTTCGCGCACTTATTCGCACATTGTTTATTTATTCAGATGTTCTATTAGTTATAGGTCTAAGTGATTTCAAATATGTATTTTTTACGACTAGAGTGTATCTAAAATGTTTTTGAGAAAATAAATTGTTTTAGAAGTAAATAGTTTCGTCATGTTTATAAAGGCATATTTTGGTACAAATCTTGAAGTGGGCAAACTGAAGTGGGAAGGGGCTCGTAGAGTCGGGAAAAATAGAGCGGTTTTGGGATAAATCTGGTGAGCGAAACAAACATCTAATAATTTCAAGGTCTACCTAAGAAATTCTATTTTTCTTAAAAAAATCAAGGTTTGACAACGTCAATGTATGACGTATTATGCATTTTTTTAATCAAAATTGAAAACTCTATTCATATGTGCAAAAATGCAGTATAGCGTTCTTAAGAAATAATAAAGTTGATGCTCGAGGACAAGAGACGAACCGTCATATAGAAATTCTGATTATGCCTTCTTGTAGAGGAGAAAACGTGGCACTGTTAATGTGCAAATTATTTTAAAATCCCAATATAAATAAAGTCAGAAAAAAATCAGAACAATTTTGTGAAAATTCAGTTTTTCCGTTACTCTACCGAAGTACTTTGAATTTCGAAACCGTCTAAGTGTCACTTTGTTGACTACCCCATTTAAGCGACTTCGTATCCCTTACAGTTTCCAAGATCCCAATGGTGAGTGCCAAGTTAGAAACACTCTATATGCACACTCTTACTAGAAGAAAGAAGTGAAAATACTACAAGGATTTAATAAGGTCTTTGAATAATAAAGGGTGTTAGACACTAAAAAGCTAAAACGGCTGAACATAACTACAATTATCAAGATCTGCTGACATAGCTGTAAGTTTCATAGAGTTCTCAACATGGACAAAAAGAACTGAGACTAGGAAAATACATAGAAGTAAGGCTTAAATCGCGTAATTACTCATTTTGCAACTGTAACAAAAATTTTCAAAAGATTAGTGTTCACAAAAATCGTATTAATTATGGTTCTTGAAAGTTATGTCCTCTATTCTTCGGATTTTTCATGATATTCAGTTTGCCATTACCGGGTAATAAACAAAATATTGAAAACAAAGCACTTTGGCGCTGGCTGATATTTAAAATGGAATTTCATTAAAACTTCTTCTGCCACTTGTTCACCTGAAAATGTTACAAAAACTTGTTTCTGTTGAATTGTGGCACTGTTTTCCCTATAAAATTAAGGTTTTTGGCTTTAAGGTTTTTTACACCGAAGCAGCCGTGCAGGTGTACCCTACATGCCAAGGCACCGCGGCTGCTTTGAGGAACTTGAAGAAACTTTGTTATTCCCATTTTTGAACTGCCTAAAGTTAGTAGAACTGGGAAAATCTCCTCATGTAGATTGTTACACGATCTCGACACCCTCGGAACAAAGGAGCGGTCTTATCGACACGCTTACGATGGGAGGCCGAAGTCAGGTAGGCACATCGCGGGGCGACACCATGGAAGAGAGCTCTGAGGAGCAAAGCCCGTTGACGTAGCTAGATCGCCAACGGTACGAAGGTGTCCTCAGACCGTCCATTAGAGAAAAGTTTATTAAATGCCTCTTGCGAAGCAATTTTAGCCCTCAAGTCAGAAACTGTACGAACAGGTAACATCTCGCTGATTCTGATTTTGACAGTCACCGACAAGTTACCGACTACTGTACGAACAAACCACATGTCTATACCAAAAGTACGAAATTCCTGGCAGTGACTCATCTATGCTGTCGAAAAGCCGCAGTTGCCAGATTTCAAAAATGAATTTACCTATCCATTTAAAAAACTACAATTATGATGTAAAACTAGTAAGAACTAAGAAACGTCTATTCAGATGGACAAATGATAGTAGGACTATGAATGTGACACAATGTAAAATTTCTACCCCGAATGACGAGAGAGAAGTTCGTAAGTCATCAGTTTGGTAGTTACGAACGTGGAATTGCCGACTATAAGAACAACATGACAACTCTGTCAGGTATCGGGCTGCCGATGATCGCGATTGGTGTATATCTCCGTCGTCCCTACCCCACTGATAACATGACAACTCGCGGATCATTCCAGCGACGTAGCCTAAGCAGAATAGTTCGAACGCGATTAAATAGTTATTGAGAATAGACGAGACATAATGGATGGGCAAAGTGAAAGTTTGTCACCAAAAAAAAAAAATGTAGATCCTTTCCTACTGGGGAGAGAGAGTTAATACACAACGTTTACGACGGACTTCGTGAGCGAGACAAAACATTAGGTGTTCAGGATGCAAGATGCTGTTTTACTTTGTAGCATCTTAACAAAAGTGTATGAAAAAACAATTTTTCGAGTACGAGGGAAAGGAAGAACATCGTTCTGGATAAAGATACCAAATATGCTGTTCGCAGACACATACATTATTTTTTTTCCGAAACGAGATGCCTACAATACGAAAAATTGCAGCTGAAATTGGCAAGGTCGACAGTATTCCGAAAATTTCTATGAGGGTTCTAAAAAGAACGATTCAAGGGGACGAGGAAGTCATGTCTGATTGAAAAAGAAGAAATTGTGATGTGGCGACGTAAGTACTTAGCGGAAATGCAGAAGTACAGATACGAAAATATGAAGATATATTATCTCGATGAAACGTGGGTGAATGAAGGATACACTACGCCAAAGGTATGGCAAGATATGAATATTACCAGTCGTCAACAGGCCTTCAAGGATGGATTTTCTACAGGACTGAAAGCACCTACAGGTAAGTTTGGACTCATAATTCAGCATTATTCATTTTGGACATCTGCATCCTTGGTTTCCTACATATATAATGTCTAAAGGATTATATATCCATTATTATCCCATCCATTGCTAATCACCATAATCGGATTATACTTTTCAATCGCCAGGTCTTAAAAAACTTAATTTAGTTTTTCGTAGTTAAATGGACTTGGGATCCAAAGAAAGAGCTTTCTGTTACAGAGCTGCCTATGTTTAATAATTTATTGCCTTCTTCAGGACTCAATAAAACACTGAAAACCATTACTCATGAAAAAAAAAGCAAAACAAAGGTAAACTGATTCGTGACTTAAACGGATGACAAGTTTTTTATTAGGTTCTTATCAGAAAAAAGGAAATACAAGAAAGTCATGTAAAGTACGGTCATTAGAAGACTAATATCCTACATTTACTGTTCTCCTAGATGCTTGAATTTATTGAAACTTTATTTCAGGTAAAGGGAGGAGGCTTATTGTAACACATATTGGCAGGGATGAAGGGTTTCTGGACAAAGGATTACTGATATTTGAGTCCAAAAAGACTGGAGATTATCACGACGATATGGATGCAAATAGATTTGAAGCATGGTTCAAAAGCATTTTGCCGGATATCTCTTCTGGTTCAGTCGTGGTAATGGATAATGCTCCAAAGTTCCCTACTAGTTGATGGCGAAAAAGTGACATAATAAATTGGCTCAAGACAAAAAAAATTACATACCAGGAACAAATGCTTAGAATTGAATTCCTTAATATCGCTAGGCAAAACAAACCCACGTCAATAGTGTACGCTATACATGAAATGGCTCATCCGCATTCCATTATTGTTCATCGCTTACCACCCTATCATTGCGAAATAAATCCAATTGAGTTGATATGCACACAAGTCAAAGGCGAAATAGCAAGGAACAATACAACCTTCAAGTTAGCGGATGTCAAGTTATTGTTACAAAATGCTATCAACAACGTATCCATCAGCAAAAATGTATTCAACACGTCATCAAGGAGGAGCAGAGAATGTGGGATCTGGATACTCACATAGACATTATTGTTGAACCAGTTGTGATTGAGTTAAATAGCGACGACTCTGATTCGTCTAGTCATGACTCTGATATTGAATAATCATTGATTTTTAGATCCTAAGATAATTATAATTTTGTTTTTGTGTTTTTGACAACTGATAATAATTTTATTATGTTTGACACTGAAGTCTCGATAAGTTTAGGTGTTAGTGTATATATATATAACTTGAGACGTGGTCATTGTCGTCTAGACCAGTTAGGTGAAAAATTAAAGCTTCCGCCTTTTGTTGGGTACTTCGACAAAATTTAAGCAAAGAGGACTCTTTATACTTTTTTTAATTCCCTCTAGCTTTCAATGGACTTTGCCATCATCATCAGGAGCTGCAATTACAATGATAAAAGTAGCAACAAAAGTGTAAAATGAATTTAAATTGAATCAACTTACAGTAGTATGTGAGGATGTTGCTAAATGTTGTTTTCGTATAGGTTTTCAAAATATCGTTCATAGTAATACTTAAAGTTCTGTACTGCATGATTCTGAATTTGATTGAAGGATAGGTACTTGCACTTTCTGTAGATATTCTAGATAACGTGTCCGATATTGTTCAGAGACGTTAAGGGGCAATGTCTTATCACAAGTATGGACATCTGTATTTGATGAACTGTTTTCTGAGGGTTGAATAAGTTTTGCAATAGTATCTGCATCGTCATCTTTACAAGAAATCATGTTTAAGTTTAACACAAAACTTTTCTATTTGGGTTTCATTCAGTTTTTGTTTTCTCGCTATGCTATTTCAGAGGTTAAAAAGTCTTTTTTTTTTACTGATTCTATAGTTTATTATAAAATACTAAATACAAAAATTATTCGGTCATTTTAACTGAGTCAGCTGACAGATGTTTTATATATTGTTCCTCACTTAACAGATTCCAACTTTTCACTACGTCTTCAAATTGATATGTACGTCCTTTAGGTAATATAACAGCCAGAAATCCTAACTTCTTAGGTTCTGTTTTCAATAATTGTGGGTCTCTCTTTATCAGTTCATTTATTTCTACTAACGCCCACAATTCGTTCCATCTTTCAACACAGACATTGACAACCTTCGGGCCTTCTGTCAAAGGTTCATCTCACTCATTATTCCATGACCACCATTTTGTGCAATCATCAAGTGGCTTCACGACGTAATGCTCTAATGTTTTCTAAATAATTTTTAATCTGTCTTTAACTTGTCATATTTTATATAATTTTAACCATTGTACCATGTATCCAGCTCTCACCATGTTACTGGACGTTTCCCTCATCCTATACGAAAACAACAATTAGCAACATCCTCACATACTACTGTAAGTTGATTCAATTTAAATTCATTTTACACTTTTGTTGCTACTTTTATCATTGTAATTGCAGCTCCTGATGATGATGGCAAAGTCCATTGAAAGCTAGAGAGAATTAAAAAAAGTATAGAGTCCTCTTTGCTTAAATTTTGTCGAAGTACCCAACAAAAGGCGGAAGCTTTAATTTTCCACCTATATATATATATATACAGGGTTATCCAAATTAAGTGTCCACCAATTATACCGCACCAAACGTTGAAACTGAAACGGACTTGTAGGCCTCTTGGATGTACTAACAAAAGATTTTCTCTTGACCAATAATGGTGTTTTTTTCTATTAAACATTCCAGAATTTGAAAAATTTGATTCATCTGTCCATAAAAGGTAACGAAAGTTATTTACATTTTGGCGACAGAAGCTAAGATACCAATGGCAAAAAACAAGTCTTCTCTCTGGATCCCCTGCCAAAAGCGTTTGAACTGGTCGGTACTTATACGGAATAAATTTGTATTTTTTTAAAATCCTTTGAACAGTACCATAACTGAAATTAGAGTCCTTGAGAATATCTGCTATTGAATTCTCACGATAAGCTTCAAAATATCCAATAACTGCAATTTCCGTGGCCTCGCTTATTATGAATTCTTTTTTTGCCCTTGTTTTAGCAAAAACATTTTCGTTGCCCCTAAATTTTCGATAAAGTCTCAGAAAATATCATTCATACGGTTGAATGCGAGCGGGATATAATTCACTGTAGTATTCTCTTGCTCTCAAGGAGGATTTTCTGCACACTAAATAGCATTCTAACATATCACACTTTTCTTCATGGGAGAACATTTTTCTTTAAATTAATGACACAATAAAGCTTATAAACAAGTATTTACACTAATGTTTGACATTATTTGATTTTATCATTGTTTTCCAAAGCCTTCTAGTTGCGAGTATGTCCAGTTTAACAATTTGTCGCTTATCTTAATGCTGTCAAATCGCGAACGCCATGTTGTTTTCATAGCCGTCTTAATATTATAATACTGCAAATAATTAAAAATATTTATCGTTATTTTGACTTTATTTTTGACTTTAGCGGAAAAGTCATTATGAACTTTTCTGTTTAAAATTTGATGCTTTAACAGAAAAAAATATAATATACAGGGGTTTCCATTTAAAAAAATGTTATTTTACTGAAAAAAATCAAAATAACGACTCTCAATTGTTTTTTTTTATTTCTCATTTTTACCAGCGTTAAAAATGCTACTAGTTTGCTAATTTAAACAACTTTGTATTTTTACTAATAACAAAGTTACCAATGGTGGACACTTAATTTGGATAACCCTGTATACACACGGGGTGGCCCGTCGATGTGTGTGCGGAATATTACTCATAAACAAATACATTTTGAGAAAATCTATTTATGGGATGTATGTATACATGACATTTGAGGGCACATTCCTAAAATATTGGCAATTATACATGGTGTCCCAATTTTGACCTACATATCAAAGTTGTGATTTCTTAAATGGAATGCCTCAAATTTTATTGCATATTAAGATAAACCAGTTCAAAAGAAGAAAATTGGTATAACGTACTATGGGGTTTTGGTAATTAGCTACTGAGATATAACGTATTTTGTCTAGAAAAAACCCCACTTCGGCCACCCCTTAGTCCGCTATTTTGAAATTTGTATAAGCTTTTTTTTTAAACTAGACACATAAGGGTTTTTACGGCTATTTTTTCGGTTATTAGCACGTCTTTTATGGAACGGCTTAATTCCCTAAAATATCGCATCATCCTTGGAAACAAATAAATTAGTTAAAGTTACAAACTGTCAAAATTAGCTTTGTGAGCATTATAATAAAAACGTGTTAGAAAATGAATTTTTTTAAAGAAGAAATGGCAAATATGGTGTTCGTTTTGGGCGAAGCCCAAAGAAATACTTTCCTAGCATCTCGCATTTATAAGCAACGGTACCCTAATATGCGACATCCAACGCCGGAAACATTTTACACACTACGAGAACGTTTTGAATCAGGTGCAGCAGAGGAATATAGTAAAAAATGAATAAATAATCCAAGTCTCACCAATGAGGCGAATCAGTTTGAGGTTCTATTAAAGTTGCAGGAAAATTCCCATTTACACACAACTTTGATATGTACGTCAAATTTTGGACACCCTGTATAATATCTTAGGAATGTGCGCTCAATAGTCATGTTTAAAATTCCATAAATAGATTTTCCCAAAATGTATTTGTTTATGAGTAATATTCCGTCCATACATGGATGGGCCACCCTGTATATATATATATACATACCAAATATTGTCAGTTATTCGTCATGATAATTTGTCTGTTTTATCAATCACATTGTTAAATATCTGGTTAAACAAACAAATATAAAGGAACCATTTCGCTAGTATATATTAACACCTTTTATAAAAATTAGTTCGTACGCACATGGAACAATCTCTCTCCACCCCTCTGCTCACCGCAGCTGCCCTAGGTAACAGGGATGAGTCGCTGCCAGGAATTTCGTACTTTTGGTGTAGTATCAAAAAACGTCAGTTCGGAATTTCTCAACCTCAATACCCTGCGAACCCCACCTAATGGATTCAACGATCAAGTTGACTGACAATGTCGTACAAACTGCATAGTGACCCAATCTGACTTTCACATTATTAAAATTGTTTTCTTACCTTTGACGAACCCTGGCTGGTTGATCAACTGTACATTGGACAACTTGACTTTTTGTTGCTGTTGCGCGGGCGTAGCTCCGTCTGCTTTACCCTGTTGCTGCCCACCTCCGGTAGTCGGGCCGACCCGTTTCTCTAGTTTGACCTCAGCCGCCGCCCGCACCCGCATCGACAGCCTGTGGGGCGGACACGGGGGCGGGCGGTCGGATTCTGGGGCGGCATCTGCAGGGAAATCGCCTAGTTCGACGATCTTCTTTGACACAGGGCGCGATTGTCGCATCCGGTAGCATTGGTACGAACTCAGATGTAATTCATGCATGATCAACAGCAAATTCAAAGCGTAGAGATTGACGTGCTGAAATTCGAGTTGACGGGTTTGGTTAGAAAGAGAATAAGAGAAATATATACTGTTTTGAGTGTGAAGAAGTAATCAGACAAATGCCTCGGTTCTATCATGATCGAGTTAGAGGTGAATGGATTCTCTTACTCTCAAAAACGGTAAGTTTATCATCATGCAAAAACATGAAATATACTCGTATAGAGATTTGCGCATGTTAGCTTTATTCAGATTATTTTTTCAGAATCGTCATATTATCACAATTCTTCATCACGTTTTGACAACTACTGAGCTAAACAACTGATAGGCAAGTGGCTTTTTGTTTGTCGGCAATCTAAACCTAGTGGAGCTCAGGACCACATTCAGAGCTATTTACACCAAACACCGAACATTTATTGTCACATGCATACTTTCACCGACTGAAATTTGAGGAATCTAATATATGAAGTACACATAAAAAAAGGCAATAAATCACATAAATGCGTTGTTAGAAAATATAAACCAGAACAAAAATGTTACTACAAAATACGACTACATAATATCTACCGCTGGTGTATTGTAGACTCTCGTCTGTAGATGTCAGTTTTGTGTTTCGATTATACTATACTGTGATAATTTTGAATATTACTAGATCATCAGTTGTTATTTGTTGTCATGTTTTGCTATGATGAAATACCATGAAAAATAGCACAGTACAACCAATAATTGAAATGAGCTTAATGCTCATTTCTAATACTGTTTTATTTGGCTTGAACCCAAGAAATATATCAGTACATCAATTTTTATAATAACAAATTACTAAAGAGATTAATTTTAAAATCATATAGAGTACAAAGAGTAGACCAACAATATGGCAAACCCTAAAGGCAAATCACAAAACAAACTAAAAAATGATTCAATGTTGAAAATTAGTATGTGCGAAAAAAATCCCTGCTCCTAAGACTGTTTGAGACAGTGTGCTATGTCCTCTCTGAAAAGGAGGTCTACTCGAAAAGAATCATAACAGCTTTAGACGTTCACAAAAATGCTCAACGCATTCAAAGCAGTCAGCAAATATATTTGACAATCCACCAATTCAAATAATCTTATATGTTTATCGTTCTGAAAGTTTTTTTAAAATGAAAATCAGCAAAATCAAAACACAAGATTTTACTGTGCTTGTCAATTATAGTTCAGGAATGGCAATAAAGGAAACTTAATACACTCTAGCAGAATATTTTCTATGAAGCAGTAATGTTACAATGGAAATACGAAATTATGATTATCACATGTACGAAAAAACCTAATATGCTATCAAGAAGAATCTAAGGATGCATCAAATACCAAAATCCATCAAGCCATTCAGTCCATTAATTAGAAACTTCGAGGTTGAAGTTTAGTATCCACTATTTTGATTTTACGAAATTTTGATATAAAACTGTCAACAGAAATCCAGAGGCACATCCTATGTCAAAATCTATCAAGTCATTTAAGCTGAAACCCATGAAACAGAAATTTCAAAAATTCCAATTTTTCGATTTAAATCCGCCAATTTGATTTTATAAAATTAGAAAATAGAAACTCAAAAAATGCCGAAAAAGAAGATGAAAAGGGATTTCAAGTGGAAGATCTGATAAAAATGAAGGATTATACAATTCACATACAAGATTTGTTGATAAAAGAGCTGCAAAAGAAGAATGCATATCTGCAAGTGAAATAAGACGAATTACAAATAGAAAAAAATGGAACTAAATCATTTGCAAATGCTGTGAAATACGCAAGCAAAGAAAAAGAAGTAAATCTAGATAAAGACACTGACGTTACTGAAGTTCCCACTCTATCAAACAAGAATAAAACAGAAACACATGCAGAACACCGAGGAATAGTCAAAGATAGAAACATTAGTAGAAATTTGGTTATTTCTACAGAACAACCATAAAAGATAGTTATAATAAAACCAAACGATAAAAGTCAAGACTGTTTACACACAAAGAAGGTATTCAGCTAATATATCAATTCTGCAAAAATGAATGTCTCCATAAAAAAAATTAGCAATCAGAGAGATGGGTCGGTGAAAATTGAATGTAGTAATGTTGACGATATCACAAAATTGAAGTTAGAAGTAGAAAAACATGTAGGACACAGGTATAAAGTGAGTGTTGGGCATAGGAAGTTACCAATGATTAAAGTTGTAGGCTTCAGTGAGGAATTCGATAAAGCAGCGCTGATTAGAGACTTGAAAGAAAGAAACAATATAAGCAGTGATTCGATGATAAAGGTAGTGGCAATTTAAAAGATGAAATACAGATATCAGGCAATTCTGGAATTAGATGAGCAAACATTTAAAATAATTATGAAAGAAGGTTTACTGTTTGTATCAATGGATGTGTGTACAGTGTTCGAGCATCATAATCCGAGGCGCTTTAACTGCTCCGGATTCCACTATACAGCAAAAAACTGTACAAAGAAGAGTGTTTGCATAAAATGTGGTGAGAGTGGTCTTTAGTCTCAAACCTGTAAAACACCAAAAAATGAGGTGAATTGTCCGAACTGCAAGGAATCAAATTTGAGGTATAATACAAATTTTGACACAAACCACTCACCGTTCAACAAAATATGTAGAATAATACAAATGTAATATGAAAAATTAAAAAACAAAGCTTGCTATGGAGACAGATCATAGCAATTACAAACAAAACAAGCTGTAGGCTATATGTACCACTTAAACATTCAAGGATTTTTGTCACATAAAGATGAGGTTTCAAATTTCTTGGTGATAGAGAAACCATTAATAACAGAAACATATGTAACAGAAGATATTGAGGAGGGAGAGATCGAAATTCACGGCTATCAAGTTGTAACAGTAAACTCTGTTTCGAAGCATACAGGTGGTATATTGATATATACACTATATATATAGCATTGTCAAAGTACAGAACATTGAAGTTGTTGAATATCAGTGGTGGTACATCAATCTGGAAATAAGGATACAAAAATTACAATCTGTATATTTATTACCGATCTCCAAGTGGAAGCGTCAATCGATTTATTGAATTTTTTGAAAGTATATGTGAAAAACATTATTACAGAAATTGCGCAATGTACATTTAGGAGACTTCAATATAAATTTTGACAGTAAAGATTTCTACGTTACCAAATCTATACAAGTACTAAACTTCCATGGATTATGGCAGAAAATAAATGACTATACAAGGATTAGGTACTTTTCGAAAATAAAAATAGATTTGCTCATAACTAATGAACAAAATCTAATTGCTGAAGTTAAGCATACCCCAAAGATAAGTGATCACTTATGTATATATTTCGACGTGGGAAATATGTTCAATGAAAATAGAATGAAAGAAATTACAGTCATTGAATTCACAAAATTACGAGAAACACTTTTACAACACAATATACCTGAAATTATCGATAATGCTGACAACTACTTCGAACAAATTATGAGTATGTATAAATATATTAGTGAAACTATGGTCAAGAAAATAATATATGAAAGTGTGAACCCAACACCATGGTTTTCACAGATATTCACGGAGTCTAAATTATAACGCGATAATGACTACAGAAAATTTTCAATAACCCAAAGTGAAAATGATTGGAAACAATATACAAACTCAACAAATGAGTGTGTAGCAGTTCTCAGGAGGGAAAAGAAAAAATACTAAATAAGACGATCGATAGCAATAAAAATAATTCTAAAATGATGTGGAAAACATTACAGAATATTGTTTCTCCTAATAGAAAGACTGAATTATCTAAAATGCGTTTCGAAGATGGGGTAGTGACAGACAAATTAATTATAGCAGAAAGAATGAACACTTATTTTATAGAAAGTGTAAATCAAACAGTGAAGACCATTGATGACGGTGATCCAAACTTATGTCCATTACAAGTATGTCAGAATTCATCAATGAAGCAATTTAGGACAATTAACATCAACAATCTAAGAAAAGCTATCTCAAAATTGAAATCTAATAAAATATCTCAAAAAATATTCTAAATGATTGTTTCAATATAATTGGAGAGAAATTATTATTATTGGTGAATCATTGTTTAGTACTTGGTGAATTCCCATCAAAATTGAAGTGTTCCACCATTACTCCTGTGCCAAAAGTTCAAAATTCTCAGCTGTATACAAATATGCGACCGATGTCGAGAATCTGTTCGAAGGGATAATGTACCAATAAATCATAGAATTCATTGAAAAACCAAAATTTTGATAAAAAATCAAGCTGGATTTAGAAAAAAATGTTCCACAGAAACGGCAATCCAAATGGTGGTGGAAGACTGGAGAAGAAGTATAGATGAGTAGGGGTGCCACAGGGGAGTAAATTAGGGCCGTTACTATTTGTTATTTATATGAATGATATCTCTGACATTTTAGAACACTGCAAAATTCAAATATTTTCGGACAATACACTTATTTATATATATATATATATATATATATATATATATATATATATATATAGCACATTTAAGCATTTGGTCACTGCTTTAGAACTGTGTAGTGATATTGAAAAACTATGAATTGGTTAAATGTCAATAAACTTAAACACTCATAAAACAAAATGTATGTCAATAGGGAAACATTTAGGTGACAATACAATTAGGCTCATGATTAATTATGAAAAAAATTGAAGTAGTCGAGTCATTTAAATATCTTGGTATATGTGGATAGTAAGCTACTGTTTCACGAACATTATGAATTCATTATTTTGAAAATATCGAAAAAGATAAATTACTTCTCAGAGTTTCCCATAATCTTAGTATGTATTCCAAAACATTGTGTATAACACTATAATTCTTCCCCATTTTTTATGCTGTTCAACCATCTTGTTTACAGCAAATGAAAACATATTTTCAAAATTACAAATTCTACAAAATAAAGCTATGAAAATCATTTTAAATAAAAACAAATATGCTAGGATTAAGTCTATGTTAGAAGAACTGCAGTGGTTGGATGTGAAAAATTTAATGTATTATTTAGTTCTCGTTTTCATATTCTTCAGCAAAAGATCAAGGCACACAGAACCTTCTAACAAAACTCCAGTGTAAAGAACAGACAAGCCGACGTTGAGTCCAAAAACAAATATAAAGCAGCGGTTCGCAATGCCAAAAACCAGCACGATATAAAAGTTAGGCACAGGGTGTTGTCGCAGCGCAATGGCAGCCGGTCTTTCTGGACGCTGGCCAAGCAGAACTATTGTATTCAACTCAAAGGCCAAGGCGGAAATGCTAGCCAAGATCTTTGCTGCCAACGCCCAAGTGCCGTCAATTCAAAGGGTTCCCTACACTATGCGGGAGGTAACATTCAGGCATAAGACTGTAAGACGAGTGCTCTTGTCGCTCGACATCAACAAAGCTTCTGGTCCGGAGTTGATTCCTGCCATTGTACTGAAGAGGTGTGCACCGGAGCTTGCTCCAGTTCTTTCGCGTCTCTTCCAGATATCTTATGAATCCGGCACCTTCCCAGAAAACTGGAAATTTGCTCATGTTCAACCCATCTCAAAAAAGGGATCTAAGACCGACTCTTACAACTACAGGCCTATAGCTCTGCTTTCTGTTTTAAGTAAGGTGATGGAGAGGTGCATAGATCGTGAGCTTTTTATCTACCTCGAACGTCACGACTTGATTAGCGACAGGCAGTATGGTTTGCGGCACCAACGATCCACAGGGGAGCTCCTAGCTTACGTCACTCAATTGTGGAGTAAACTCATCCAGTCTTATGGTTAGGCTCATGTCGTTGCTCTTGACATCACGAAAGCGTTCGATCAGCTGTGGCACGCTGCCCTCTTAAGCAAACTTCCATCCTATGGCCTCCCAGAAAAGCTTTGCAGATGGGTGGCTGACTTTATCTCTGGCTGCAAGATATCCGTCGGAATTGACGGGTTCTCCTCTTCATCCCACAACGTCAACGCGGGTGTTCCCCAGGGATCGGTCTTGGCTCCGACACTGTTTCTCTTACATATCAACGACCTCCTTTCCTGCATGATCAACCCAATCCACAGCTTCGCTGATGACAGCACTCTGCATGCAGCAATTCAGAGTGACAAGCCGATCTCTGCCGCTGAGTTGGAAAAAAGAAGACTAGCGATGACTTCCTCTCTGACAAGAGACCTGGAGGCTATCACTGCTTGGGGACGCAACAATCTTGTACAGTTCAATGCTTCCAAAACGCAGTACTGTACTTTGACGAACAAAAAGCGTCCCTGCGCTCACCCGGTTTCGATGGATGGTCGAGTTCTGCCAAAGAGCCATTCATTTCGGCTGGTCGGAGTCCAGATCACCGAGGACCTGATCTGACACGAACACATCCGTCAATAGCTGCAGCTGCTGGGAAAAAGCTAGGCTATTTGTTTAGGGCTAAGAAGTACTTTTCTCCGCATGACCTCACTCTATACAAGGCCCAGATAAGGCCTAGCCTCGAGTATTGCTCACACGTTTGTGGTGCTGCCGCCCCGACTACATTATCCATGCTCGATGCTGTCCAGAGGAGGGCGGTCCGACTGATCGTTGACTCTTCTCTAACAGACAGTCTCGGAACTCTTTCGCACCGGCGGGCTGTCGGCCATCTGGCTCTTTTCTACCGATACACCAACGGGCTTTGCTCCTCAGAGCTCTCTTCCATGATGCTGTCGCGCGATGTGCCTGCCAGACAGACCCGCCTAACTTTCGCGTCCCACCCTAACCGTGTCGAACTTCGTACATCCAGAACCGGCCGTTACGACCGCTCCCTTGTCCCGAGGGTGTCGAGGTTGTGGAACAATCTACAAGAGGAAGCTTTTCCCAGTTCTATTAACCTCAAGCAGTTCAAAAATCGTATTAATAAAATTTCTTTGGGATCATCATAGCAGCCGCGGTGTTCCGGCATTTAGGCTTCTGTCTGTGCGGCTGCTGCGATATAAAAAAAAATTCAAATTAAAAAATCATTTATCACCACCACAGTTAGAGAACTTCACAAAATTAAATACTCATTATCATAACTACGAAACTAGAGGCAGATTTTCATCTGCAAAATTGTAATAGTAGCATAACTAGTAAATCTATATTTTAAAGGGGAGTATTTGTATTTAACAAATTGAATAATCAAAATACATAGCGACGTAATTTTAATTTTAATAGACAAGAAATTACAGAAAATGGACTGAAGAAAAATATGTCACCGAATCATTATACAAAATTACAACAACAACGTCCCCCGCACTGCTAAGAGGAATCCAACACTTCTTGTCAAAATCCTCTAAGCTTTTTGGTCTTTAGCCCGTGAAATAGATTAACTAAGATTTATTGTTTACCTTCCAAAGGTCGTAGTCCAACGCAGAATATACTATAGATGGAATGTGATATTTTATTTCTTCACATTGAAATGGTGAAATTGTCGGTCTCACTTCAAACAGATTGGGATGATTGCACACTTTCCTCAGCTGCATCAACACGTTTATTACACTCAGTAGATTTCCAGTTGCCAAGGTTTCTTTCGTTCTAAAATGAATTTAAAGATTATCAGAACATTAAATGTGATTTTTTTGATTTATAGCTAGATAAATATGCTTTAATGTCAGAAAGGTATTATAGCATTCTCAATGGCAAAGCTAACTCAAAACTAAACCATATAAAATGATATATGTTGATCTCAAGTAAATGTATTGTAGAACTCACGCATGGTATAATGTGTTTCTCATATTAGAAATTTTTCAAGTTCACGGCAGAATATATTTAAAATGTAGATTCTTTTGATAGCATCCGAGAAGTACATGTACATTTTCTGGCCATTATACATTTTTTTTTTTAGTTTTAAAGTTTTCGTATATATGATATTTAAAATGAATGATTATCGAGGACAAAAGACAGATATTGCTGGAGGACTTACTTTGCTCTTGACATATAGTCGTCGTAAAGAAATCTTTGTCTTTTCGACAAACGACACATAACGACATGCTCGTACTTTTTTGGCATCTGTTTCTCTACTTCTGATTTTAACCTTCGTAATAAAAAAGGCCTTAATACCTGAAATATGAAATATAGTATAAAAATCGAAAATAAAAAGGAATATACAAAAATGAATATAAAAAATATCAGACAAATGCCTCCGTTCTATCACGATCGAGTTAGAGGTGAATGGATTCTCTTACTCTCAAAGACGGTAAGTTTAACATCATGCAAGCTCTCAATATTACGTATAATATAATAATTTTTCTTTCAATTATGGAAAAAGATGTTTACTAATTATTTTACTTATACAGGGTGCGGCAGAGAGGATGGACGGATTTAAAAAAATCATAAAATAGTTAATTTTTACTCGAAAACAAATTTATTGATGGAATCAGGTTCACAAGGCATTTGAGACAGTCAAGTGTGGAAAATCACATCAGGCATGTGGTGGCCGAAATCGTTGATGCAGTGCTGGAGGCGTTCTTGGAAGTTCGCGTAGACTCTCTCCACTTGGGCGACTTCCACACGAATTTCGCCCTTCAATTCGTCCAGAGTTTGGGGCTTGTTCGCGTATACTCTAGCGTTGAGGTATACGAAAAAATCGCAAATGGATAAATCTGGGGACCGAGGAGGCCAATGAACATCGCCAAACCTGGAAATAAGGCGACCAGGGAAGAGAGGGCGAATTAGGTCCATGGATGCTCGGGCTGTGTGGGCGGTCGCCCCATCCTGCTGGAACCACACACGTCGGATTGGAACACGTCGCCGTCGTAATTCAGGGAGAAAGAAGTTGGTGATCATGTCGACGTAGCGCTCCGAGTTCACGGTAACATCACGACCATTACCGTCTTCGAAGAAGTACGGGCCAATGATGCAAGTTTGCGATACAGCGCACCAAACCGTTATTTTTGGGCTGTGCAGCGGTCTTTCGTGTAACTGTTGCGGATTTTCATTAGCCCAATAACGACAATTCTGCTGGTTAACCATGCTGTTTAAGTGAAAGTGGGCTTCGTCACTCATAGGCGAAAACGCGGTGCTCCACCGTCCAAGGCTCCATAACGACAACTGGTAAAATAATGCTAGGATCTCACGAGTCAAACGGCACCCTCCCCACCTCTCTCGTAGACGGAGGCGGAGAGTACTGCCCATCCCAAAAACGCCGTCCTCTCTGCCGCACCCCTGATATTTCGATATTAAATATACTTCAGTATCATGATTCCTTTTTCATGGAGAAAGGATTTCTTACTTATTCAGTTAGAAAAAAGTTAAAGTGAAAACTATATATGAAACAAGTAAACTTTTACAAAACAAAAAAACATCTTTAGTAACTTCAAAGAATGAAATTTTAATAGCACTATAAAGACGAATTTAAGAACACCTCAAATGTCAAAATCCATCAAGCCGTTTGGGCTGTAGCCCTTGAAATAGAAATTTCAAAGTAGTTTGCGTTTAAAACCGGCATGCTTTACAACATTTTAGTATACCCAGTGTTAATCACATTAGCGACACCTCATATATCAAAATTCATCAAGCAGTTTAGGCTGTAACCTGTTAAATAGAATTTCTAGGATAGTCGGATAAAAATACTGATTATATAGATATTCCGAAATATAATTTTAATTTTGTGGTATGAAACATGACTAAAAGTTAGTCGTTCCAAGTTATATAGATACTCACTTTATGTAACCGTTTGATGATGTTCTCATTATACTCCGAATTTCCTTCAATCATACCCGTCACAGGATTGGAAAACCACTCTTTGAACTCTCTGTGTGATTGGAATACATTCGGCATGAGAAAATGCATTAACGACCACAGCTCCATCAGGTTGTTCTGAAGTGGTGTTCCAGTAAGCAACAGCCGCCTTAAATAATAAAAATCATGCACTGAAATAGCTTCACGCGTTTACGTCCAAATGCTATAATAATTATTTATTAGGATTGTTTGATTCAAGTGGCATGTTGCAATGCATTCTAATGCAAACTTAATACGATCAGCAAACACAGTATAAGCATTGCATTTAATCTCCACAGTAAAAAAACGCCACTCCAACTTTGTACATCGTCATGTGGAGCTGGGACTGTGAATAGAAAGTTCTTATCAACTGGTATGGTTTAATCAAGAAGTTTAAAATTCGAAAGCACCCGGGCCCATATCCGTTCAATGATTGGTGAATAAGAAACGCAGCGTCATGACAGGTGAAAAATATCGACCCAAAGAAGTGATGCAGCAAAACCTTCTGGGATGACTCTCAATTCATAGCCTACTTACGTCCCTATGATATTTTAATGTTACCATGAAAATTACTGCCTACAATTTAGGCATTTTATCAGCGATAGATTGATAGTGGATGAAATACCTTAGCTGGTAGGAACGTGTAGCCAACACCTTATGGAAATGTTCAAATTGCGATGTGACACTGTATCAAGCACAGTAGAGATTGTTTTGCTAAATTCCATCAAATAAAGCGATGTTTCAGCTGCTCTCTTTTGAAAATTTTATAAACTATGGCTTTTGACATATATTGATATTACATCATACATATACAGTATGTTATGCGCATTACACAGTTGAGGCATCATAGTGAGTGTAAACGGTAGGACCAGCTTTGTGTTACCTGGACAAAAGTTAATCAATGGTGCTACAGGTCCCAAACAATATGTGATTTGAGAAATCAGGGGTTAAGGAGACAAGTTATAGATCCTATTTCATTAGGCAGGCATCATCAAGCTAGAATTGCCTTTCATACCAACTATGATGACCAGCTAGTGGTAACACAGTGTATGACAAGGGTGATTTTATATTGACTAGTACCAATTCAATATAATTACAACAATAATAGACGTCTTTAATTTATCTGAAATTACATTTTAATTTAGCCAAATATGACTGGCGAAGTGATGCTGCTACTCTTACACTAACTTGAACATACAGTTGCTAGTAGATGTTCACAACGATAAATTATTCACAAATAGATTTAGTAAGTTACATTGAAAGTAAAAGGCACACTTTCCAAACCTAAGTACACCAAAAATTATGAACCTGAATATATGAAGCGATGAAAAAAGAAATGAATCACTATGTAAAGGACCCGGCAACACGACTATGGGAAAAGTGGTTTCGGTTAATTTCGCTGAATTTTTGATGTGTTATGCGCCTTGGCATCCTAAACAAATGTTTCAATGGTCCCCAACCTCAACGGGTTCCAAGATATAGACCGCCCAAGTCAGCAGAATGGAGAATCGACCCTACTCAATACCTGCTTTAAGTGGAAGAGTGGTTTCGGTCGCATTCGCTGAATTACTCATATGTGTCTTAGCGTCCCGAATAAATGCCTAAATGAGCACATGCCGCAAGACACAGCGGGTAGAAGATTTAGGCCGTCTGGGTCACTATAATGGAGTAATCAGTTCAAGTGAAAGAGTGGTTTCGGTTAGTTTTGCCAAGTTTTTTAATATGTTATGTGTCTCTGCATCCTAAACAAATGCCTTGATGGACACAGGCCCCAAAATGTATATTTATCTATAATATATGCTTCAAGTGAAAGAGTGGTTTCGGTTAATTTCGCTGAATTTTTTATGTTATGTGTCTCGACGTCCTGAATAAATGGCTCGATGGGCACAGGCCTCAAAACTCAACGGGTCCCAAGATATAGGCCGACCAAGTTGGTATAATGGAATGTGGGATTTACTCAGCTATCTGCTCTATCTAGAAGAGTAGTTTCGGTTAATATGATATGAATAATTTTTGAGATCCCATGTATCGCGTCATCCTGAACAAATGTCTCAAATTATATCACATAATTTTAACATCCCTTTTCCATTGGGGTTGGAAGAATTAGACTCAACTAAAATCAAATCCAAGCGAATAACCAAAATTTCAGTGTTATGTGCCGCAGTTATAATATGGTTCAAGATGACACCCGGGTTGATGACGTCAGTTACACGAATCGCTTGAACGCGTTGGTTTTAACCGCGGGTTTGTTGCAAGTTGTTTATTTTAGAAAAGCGCGTATATAATCTCTGATTATTTTTATTATCACTTAATAATCGGTGCTTTTTCGTCTACAACTGTTTGTGGAAAGTTTAAATAAGAAACCTTTCATAATATTCATGGGAGAAATGTTTTATCAGATTTTTTTTTAATGATGGAACCATGGCTTTGTAGCTATGATAACTTTCAATTCTCAAAATTTTTCCGCATGTCAAAGAAAACATTTATTGATTCAGCAGAAATGATGAAAAAAGAAATTAGCAAAACCGTATACAGGTGGATATCATCTAGTGAGTTTATATGGCCATATTTTAATATTCTTGTGGTATATGGCTACACAGGATACTTTGTTAAGCAGAGGAACTACATTTAAAGTGTCCCCAACAACCGTAATGAGTATAACTAATAAGGTGCTCAACTTTATGGTAAAACTGAAGTACAATAACAATATCCAATACCCGGCAAAATTCTAACTTGTCACATTTCAAATAATAACCAGAAATATAAAACTACTCTTGAGTTGGGTAAATACCACAATTTTGCGGTGGTAACTATGACATATAACAGCTGATTCGTGACGTCACGGATCTTATAACCAAACTGATAACTACACTCGCTTGAACGGATCGGTAAATACCAACACAAAATGGTAAATACCATTTTCATTTGGTTATCCGCTTGAATTTAATTGAAGTTTAGTAGTAGGTAGGCCGACGAATCTGTTAACCGGCTACGACTCAACAAGAGCGATGATAGTGACAGCTCTTTGTGTATTTTTCTATATAAGCGAGAATGCTACATGCGCAGCCGCACATTGATCGAATACGTTGTTGTGAGAGGACATTTTTAGGTTATTCGTTACTTGTTGCAATCTACAAACAGTTCATTACTGAGTAATGGACAAGCATTTTCTGTTTAGTTTTCCACTGCATTATATAATTTGTGTTGGTCGTTTCTCTTATTTCGTTTATCGTTAATCGTGTTTCGTTTTTGGTCTCCCGTTTTCCGTTTTCGTTTTGATTTTTCGTACTGCTTTAATTTCGTCATTTTTAGCATTACGTGTAGGGTTTTAATGTTTAGCTGCGACTTGTGAGAAACTTCTGCAATCCAAAAGTGGAGATAGTTATGAGGTACCGTGAGGAGCTGAACCACTCTGCTTTTGTGATAAACGTGCGTTTGTTTAAACTGTGATTTATTACTTACACGGGACGAAGCGGCCTTGCAAAATCCCGAAAGCCTCAAGTTGAATGTCCTTAGACAAACATCCTCTGAAACATGTATGATATGTAATCACCTGAGTATACATTTGCACCGGCTTAGTATTGAGGCTCGAGTTGAAACATATTTGGTGAGTAACATTTACGTCCCTTAAGCATCTCGGCACGGGTATCACGTATCTTGAAAAGTGACATTATGCCGATTTTTTTGACATTACTTCTACAAGATGTTAACTTAGCACTTAGTTGTACGTGTTGCCTAAACGTCATGGGGCTTGTTATCAATCTTTGGCTCTGATGTGATGTAAAATCTACTGCTTCTGAGATGTATGTGTTGATGATAATTACATTGGGTTCTTGTCTCAAATACACTTAATTGACATTCAAAGCTAGACATTAGTTGCGCATCCACTTTTTCTTATCCATTCTGGAAATTACATATACAAATTTGCTGAATTTCAAAAATGAGAGAGATAAGAAATAATTATATTCACTGTACACTGTCGAATTACAAGCCATATACCGCGGGCGCGGTGATGATTTCCCGTAATTCTCAACAGTTTTTCGTATTTTATAACTTTGAACATAACCTCTCTTCAGAAAGCACAACATAAAAATAACCCGTCGGGCACAGCCAATAGATATACTTCATTCGCAGCATATTCAGTAATGATTTTCTCACACTACAAATATCACTGATTTTATACACATGTAGACCAATACACATTATCATCCAGATGCGATCTTGCTATTCAACCAACTTTCTTCTCAGAGATAAAAACTACAGCCAAGGACCATTATTTGGTCTCACAAAACATATGCAACCAATAATGCGTGTATCTCAGTCGAGTGATTCCTCCTTAGATGGTCGTTCACAACGATCCTAGTGAGCAAACGGAGAATGACTGTTTGCGCCCTAAAAACTACCTAGTTTGCAAGATGACATCTTATAGGTTTTTTTTTGACGTTTTTAGGTTTTTTACATGATACCCATGCGGATCTGTTCATAGCACCTCGATGAAAAAGGATTTCGTTTCAAGAACTTTTATATAGTCATTAGATTTTTTACACGATTACGAAAATCGGCTCTAAAAAATCGTGCACACTCTCTTGATTCTGATAATTTGACCGATGAAAATTGTACTTATCTTACTTCGATATCAAAAGCTCAATTCAATAATTTACATGAGTCTTGCATTCCTGTTGTTGGAGGTAATAACTTTCGTGCTTACCACAAAATCTCTCCATATATCTTGGGACCCAATGAGTTTTGGGGCCTGTGCCCATTAGGGCATTTGTTCAAGACGCCGAGTCACATAACGTATAAAAAATTCAGCAGAATTACATTATATTGACTTGGACACCCTATATCTTGGGACCTGTTGAGTTTTGGGGCCTCTGTCCGTAAAGGCGTTTGTTCAGGATTCCGAGTCACAAAACATATTAAAAATTCAGCTGAATTAACAGAAACCGCTCTTTCACTTGAAGCAGATATTCGAGAAGGACTGATTACGCCATTATACTGACTCGGACGGCCTATATCTTGGGAGCCGTTGTGTCTTGGAGCATGTGTTCATTAAGGCATTTATTCAGGACGCCAAGACACATATGAGTAATTCAGGGAACTTGACCGAAACCACTCTTCCATTTAAAGCAAATATTTGAGTAGAACTCCATTATACCAACTTGGACGCCCTATATCTTGGGACCCGTGGAGGTTAGGGGCCTGTGCCCATTGAAACATTTGTTCGGGATGCCAAGACGCATAACATATAAAAAATTCAGCGAAATTAACCGAAACCAATTTTCCGATAGGCGTGTTGCCGGGTCCTTTATGTTCGATTGTTAATGTTTCAACTTTTTGTTGAAAGACGGGTAACAAAAATTCTTTATACACTTAAGGAATGTCATTATAAATAATAGCCACATTGTAGGAAAAACTGAGGTTAGAAAGTGCAGACATATGCTGGGGTGTTCTAATACTTTTACTAATTTGTGAACAAAAATTGTATAGTGATACTTGACCAATTCATTAATTTTAACAAGTTTAGAACGGGATATTTTGCTGATACCGAAGTCAAAGATAAAACATACAGTTATTCTGAATTACTGGAATAACGTTTTTGGTGACCTTATCTAAACATGTGTAATATATTGTAACAAGAATAAATAGTACTACCAGCGCCATCTGTTGGGAATCGCGCCAGTGACTCTCATTCGATGAGAGACTGACATTATTACAATAATTTATCATAGATATAACCAATGCCTCACATAGTTTTCTGCGCAGCTTAAAATTTAGACAGATACCTGTTTGCTACAAGGGTATGTTGTCTTAGATAGGTTTTCTGTGACAGACTTTTAACATGATCTATAATATAAAAAGATTTCATAATAAGAATATAAATCTGTTCACAATGGGATAACCCGAAATATACACCAGAGAAAAATACAGTTTTCTTGAGCAAAACGCAATTTGATATAACAACTTACTGTTGTGTTTGGAAATTGAGCAGCAACTGCCACCGTTGCGACTTGAAGTTCTTGATGTTCTGTGCTTCATCCAAAATGAGATACTTCCACTTCTTCCGCCTGAAACTCTGGTGATCCTGTATGACTAACTTATATGATGTGATGCAGATATGGAATGCGTTCGGCTTCGTCCATCCGGTCCGCTTCAGTTTTCTTTCCTTCTGGCTGCCATAATATGTGAGTATTTTGAAAGCTGGACACCTGATGTGGTGAAAAAATATTGTATTCAGTATGAGGAAGTGAAAAAAGGTATACAAAAGTCCTATTGGGGATTATCAGACAAATGCCTCGGTTCTATCATGATTGAGTTAGAGGTGAATGGATTCTCTTACTCTCAAAAACGGTAAAATTATCATCATGTAAAAAATACGCACTATAATAGATGTACATATAGAGTTAACTGTGTAAAATGAATAATTTTGAACATTTTTCACGTATAGGAGTAGAAAATTAATCGAGAGAAAAGCCTCTTTGGACTCTCTATTGTATATAGAAGATGGGAACATTTGTAGCGACTTGTTGCGAAATATAGCAAACAAAAACAGAAATGATACGTCCTTTTAAGTTGTGATTATTTTTCCCAGGTGGCAGGCGACGTCGCTTGTATCTATTTTGCATTATAATATGCCATTTACTGTACCTTGAGAAGCAACCCGAATGGAACCGGTGCGACATTTGTCATTTGCACGTGTAAAAGGCGACACGTCGCTTGTCTTCTAGTCGCTCCAGTATGCGAGCTGCCATTTGTTTATGTGCAACGGAACCCAGCGGAAGAGTTTTGATTCATTTCCCCTCTATGCGGGTGCACTATTATACTTGTCACAGGGGTGGCGGGAGACGCGATGGTGCCGCGGCGATGTCAGCCGCATCTTCGAAATGTGACAGGAAACAGGAGACGCCACTCGGTGACACGGCAATAGTTCCTATATTATATCCTCTTTGAAGAAATGATTGGCAATTTACAGATCCTCCATCGTTGTAGCTTTATACGTATGCATACAAATATAAATGAACTGTGGATGTTTGTTACTCAATCATGTCAAAATGGCTGTACGGATCTCGATGAATAGCATGCAGGCGGCCTCTTATCCCACGAAATAACTTGACGGTCTACAGCTCGAACAGGTTAATGGAATTTGACATGACGTGTCTGGCGCAAAAGCGCTCAGTCACTGGTCCGACCGGAATAAGGAGGGTATATAAATAGAGCTTTTGCATGTTGCATTTACTGCATTTTGACACTCATTTCTTTAGCGTGATCGTCTTGATTAAGATTTGTTTTACTCCAAGCATAGAGTACTACCAGAGGCAACAGTCTGTCAGAAATCAGAATTATTTTGCATAATTGCATTTTTTTAAATTATTAATTCCTTGATTCTGCAATTTAACGTACGACATTCGTGACGTCAGACTAGAGATTTAAAATTTCCGGAAAAATTGGGTGCCGGAAAGAACCTGTTTTTTTCCGGAAAAAATGAAGAAAAATACGGAAAAATTGAAATTTGTTATATACAAGATAAAAGTATTCTGGTTACTGATTTTTCCATTAAAAGAAATCAAACAGAAATAATTTGAATCAAAACCGCAAGCTACGGCTCTGAAGGATTAGTTCTCGGTAAATACCCTTCGATTTTCGGTGAATCCCCGACCACTACAGCTTTCGGTTAATTCCCGATCACGCACAGCGACACGGCATTTCGGTAAATCCCCGTATTCCTGAATTGTTCAGTTGAGAATGAGATTCTTCAATATTGACACGTCTTGTTTATTTTAGAGCACGCATTTTAATTTAGCATTATCATAAGCGCAGTAAATGAATAATAAATACAAAGTGAAATTTTGCTGTAATAATTGAGTGTGTTTGTTCTGAAGATTGTTAGTGTTGTTGACCCAAGTGTTTGTTTTGGTTTCTGGTAAGTGAATATTTTATTAAATTTGGAATAGCTTTAAGTGTTTTGAAGGTGGGATTTCAGTTTCCTTGCATATTTTCCTTACTTTTCTTTATTACTAATATCAAGATTCAGTAATAATAATTATTATCTGTATACCCATTAAATTACATGAATTTGATCAGTTGATAAAGTGCAGCAAGATATTTTATTTATGTATTTTTTTCTTGTTGCAGGACAATATGGTTAAAATGTTAAGACCGCCATACCAAATACCTAGCCCTTACGCCCTGTTAACAAACTTCCTTAATTCCGAGTATGAACGTGTACAGATAAACCGAAGTCAAAAGCTTTCTGAATCCGATAGTTTATCAATAGTAACAGATAGTTGGACAAATATAGTCGGAGATGGATTAATCAATATTGTTATATGCACGCCTATACCTTTATTTTACAAAACTGTTCATCGTGGCACTGCAAAAGAAACGGGAACGTATATAAGTAATGAACTTATCAAAGTTATTCAAGAAATAGGGCCACAATTTTTTTTTTGAATAGTGACTGACAATGCGAGCAATATGAAAAAAAGCTGCTTGGCATATTATAAATATAACATATCCTCATATATCTTGTGTTGGTTGTGCAGCTCACACTTTGAATTTGCTACTAAAGGACTTTATGAAAGAATTTTTTTTTGAAAAAATAAGTAAAGAGTCTAAAAAAATTTGTAAATATTTTAAACAGTACCACATACTTTATGCTGCATTTAAAGAAGCAAAGGCTGAAAAATACCCAAAAAATAAAGTAATTTCCCTCAAATTACCTGCAAAAACAAGATGGGGTTCTCTGTTTATAACTGTTGATTCACTTTTAAGAAATAAGGAAGCTCTGCAATGTACTGTATTAGTGGAAAACCTGAATGTAAAACAAAATATTAAAAAAGTTGTATTGGATGATGTGTTCTGGCAAAACCTACAATATACTAAACAAATCTTGCATCCTGTATCAAAATCGATAAATTTAGTAGAATTCGATAGATCTATATTATCAGAAGTGCCTTTTGTCTTTAAGTATATAAAAGACACAATATTAGATATTCCCCAACAAGTTGACCTGACTAGTTCTCTTATCGAAAGCTTGCTAAAATGTTGAAGAACGCTACGAATCTTGTTCTAAGCCGATTCACTTTGCAGCCAATCTTCTTGATGCTCGCTTTAAAGGAGAACAATTGAATGAAGACCAACTAATGGAAGGAATAGACTTCATTTCTGAAATGGCTCGTTCACTAAATCTAGATGTAGGGAAGGTGGTGGCAAATCTAGCCCAATTTAGAACAAAAACTGGATTTTTTAGTCGAAATTCTTTATGGGATAGTGCGAATAGTACTCATCCCGTTATATGGTGGCAAGGCTTGTGTACATCGCAGCCACTTATGCCAATTGCCTCCCGAATTTTAAATGAACCGCCATCTTCCGCCTCTTCAGAAAGAAACTGGTCTTTACACGGCCTCATACATACAAGCCAAAGAAATAGATTATCACAGGATAAAATTCAGAAGCTGGTTGCTATTCATTCTAATTTGGTTATAAACGAAAAACAGACATTCATTTACGATGCTAGACCAGTTCCACTTTTAGAAGACACTGGCAAAGATTATGCTGTTTTGTCCGTCCATGAAGACGAAGCGGAGATCGAGTCTGAATCAGATGCTTGGTCTGAAGATTCAAACTCAGACTCAAGATGAAAATATACCTCTGAGCGCTTTGGTTAAATAATGTGTTTTCTACCTTTGAAGCTTTGTTTTTGATACTTTCAATATCTTAGATATTAATATAGATATTATTAAAGTATGTTTTTTGTATTTATTTTTACAAAATATGTTTAAAAAACTTTAAAATTGGTACCTATTTTTTACGTTTCAAGTCACAATTAAAAAATATTTAAATTTTCCCATTTTTCCCATGGTCTGGAAAAAAAACGTGTTTTTTCCTAATTTTTCCCGATATGTTAAATCTCTACGTCAGACTAATGAACCGTAACCGCCAATGGAAAAAAATCATCCGGACGCCTAAGGTGTCCCCCTCAAACGGAGATCAAAAGAAGCGATCTTAGCTGTCGCATCTGTATAATCTGTGCTCCAAGTATGATACTGTGAATAGTTATTGGATCATGTCATACAATATTGGGCGGTAAGATTAATTTATCTGTTATCTAACAAACTCTTATGTTATGTGGTTTGGTATCTTCTCTATATATAATGTGATTGACTATCCTCTCTGTCAGCATCACGTCTGAACCAGAATAAGGAGATACGTAAACATGCTAATTAATACCCCAAGTAGGTTATAGGTATGGTTCAATTCGCGAACTAAAAGCCGATTTTGCAATCAACTGTCGTGGCAAGTACAAAAATCTCACGCTATAAACTTCCGATCACGCCATCTTTAATGACATTGGTAAACTCACAGCCAACTTGCATGCTACTTTATAAATGGCACCACCTATACGTTCGGCAGTTAAAACCGCAGAGCAGAAAGCTAGTATTTGATAAAATATGATCGAGTAACATCTGCAAAAAATCGAAGACCTTCAGGGATGATGCCTGAGGATTCCATTATGTACAAATGATATTCACAGCGATGCGTGTATACTTAATTTAGAGGGTGGATATTGTACTCCTACCACTTACCGGTCATCACCTGCCACCTGCCACTTAACAGTATAACCACGATCTCACGACTTTTCTCTTTTTTCTAAGGTGATCTAAACATGTTTTAAAACCAATTTTTAAGACGTTTTCATTTCTACTGAAATCATGCTTTCTACTTACCATTTCTTGCACTCCATCTCCCAGTTGAGCATCACGGAAGTGGGTACGACGATGAGATGCGGTCCCCAATTCTCCTTTTCACAAGCTAAATGGGCTAACAATGCGATGGTTTGAATAGTTTTACCTAGACCCATTTCATCAGCCAGAATACCGTTCAGTTTCCGTTCGTACATCGTCACTAGCCAATCGAGACCGATGTGTTGGTATTCACGTAGGGAGTACTTCAGCAAAAATGGGATTTTGGTAGATACCTATAAGTGAAACAACGACATAAATACCTAATTCAATGCCTTATTGCAGTTACATCGGCACTTATTCATGTAATTAAAGTAGCGTGACAATGTCACTAGTGACTCTATGTGTAAAAAATTGATAAGGAAAGTGGGATATTTAGGCAGAATTTCATCTAAATTATTCCCGTGGTTTAAGAAAATAATTTGTAATACAATAATCTATCCACATTTCAATTACTGATCATCATTATACTAATTTATTGTTCAGTAGATGATAAATAGGGGCTGCAACTATTATTAAATAAAAGTATTACTATTAAATTGCAATAAGTACATGAACAGTGCATGAAAGCATACAAGAGGTAGTAAACTTGATGTTATGATATAAAATTATAAACAATAAAGCGCCAACTTATTTTAGCAAATTTATGTTGAAAAGATCGGTTCATTGGAAAAATATATTTTTGTTGAAGGTTTAAGAAGTTATAGAGGCTTGCCTCTAGCAATAAAAACACAAAATGTAATAATATTCAAGAGGAAATTAAGAAGGACTTTATATTTCAGATCCAAGTGATATGTGATTATTATGTTCATGTTAATGTAATATTGTGACCGAGTGCCGTGTCCTCAGTCGTTCCTAAAATTATTGTAGGACGCCTTTATAGACTCCTTGATTTTCACAGTCTTTTCTCTCCAGAAAGGCTGGGGTATTTCTAGGTTTCTACTGTTCCGTGTCAGCGCCCTCTTATAGTGAGGTTGTTTTCTTTTTGTATCTTACGAAATTTCAGGCTGATAAAACAGATGATGAAAATCAAGTTTTATCAGTCTAAAATTTCTTAGAACTCAAAAAGAAAATATAACCTTGAAAAAGTGCGCTGACACGACACAGTAAAAATCTAGAAATGCGCCTGCCTTTCTGAAGGGTAGGAAAAACTATGAAAATCAAGGATTCCATAAAGGCGTCCTACAATTGTAGGAACGACTGACGATACGGCTATTACGGCTAAATAAATAGCAAAAAATGGCACCAGAAACACCCAAATGTTGAAACATTGTCGAGTAACACTGCCGCATATATATATATATATATATATATATATATATATATATATATATATACATATATAAATTATTTTGAAAACTGGAGTACTGTTAAACATGCTGTAGTTGAAATTATATACATCACATACTTCACACGTCATGCCATTTTAGTCGTTTGATTCGAAATCGCGGGACAGTAAAATATACGAAATACGAAACTGTTTAAATATGCATGCAGCAATGCATTTATAATTACACGTGGAAAACGTATCATTTTCTTATTTATAGGAAACAAAACAGTAGTGTAATACACTGATGAATGTGATGATAAAGATATGTCTCTTTCATTAGTACTTTCCGTCATTTATGGAAGTGTGAAATTCTGTCAATGAAAACGAAAGTGGAAACTTACACTAGTGGAAGATAGGGTGTTTCCTTTCGGCTGTATACTCTCTGCGATAGCCGCAGCGTCATTAATAAGGTCGTCTTTTTTGTCAGTCTTTGTGATTTCTCCCTCATTATGAGAATCTTCCGCGAGCAACATCTTCAGCTCATCCTCACCTTCCTGGCTGGTAAGCGTTTCCTCTTCCTCATTTTCTTCATTTTCCTCTCTAGATGCTTCATCCTCCTAGAACAATATTCAATGTTAAACTGCCTAGTGACATAAAAAAAGGAGTGAACATTTTGATTAATGATAACGCCATAACAAACCTTATACGAGGGCGGTTCAATAAGTACCCGTGTTAGAAATGAAGACATCATTTTTCCCAAAAAAAAAAGAATATATATATTTCAACATTTTAGAAAGATACACTTTTTCCAACGTTCCTGCCATTTTTTTAACCCCTCCATAAAATAGGATTTGTCGACCTCTCCAAAATACGCATCTGTCTCGGCGATGACTTCCTCGTTTGAGCAAATTTTTTTCCTGCGAGTCATTTCTTCATGTTAGGAAACAAGAAAAGGTCGCAGGGAGGCAGATCGGGTGAATACGTGCGGCACCACTTCATAACGAAAAAACGCAAAAACTCTTTCGGATTTCGCTTAAATTGCTCCAAACACTGCTTCGAAGTTAACACCCGCATCCGCTTGTTGTCCACCGTGAGCAATCGCGGCACCCATCGTACCGACATTTTTTTCATCCAAAACTTATGTGAAATATCCATTGCCGTTCCAGTCGACACACCTACGGCCTCTGCTACTTCGCGCACTTTCGTTCGTCGATCAGCGAGAATCATGTCGTGGACATTGTGAATGATTTCCTTGGTAACCACGTCTGCCGGTCGTCCTGGTCTCTCCTTATCAAAAACGCGTGTTCGCCTACGTTTAAATTCGTTGAACCAATATCTAACTGGTCATAGATGGCGAAGTATCCCCATAACAGCATCCAATTTTGCTTTTATCTTCTCGCATTTTTTCCCATCCAAAGACAAAAAGCGAATTACCGAACGATACTGCTCTTTTTCCATCTTAGCGAAAATCACGAAACACTTGTTACTCGAATTGCTGCCAAATCCAAACTAACCTATCAAACAGTCTGAAATTTGTTGTGCCTTTCGTTTGATAGATGGCAGTACACGATGATAACACCAACTTACCTCAGGACCGCCCTCTGTCGTCAAACACGGGTACTTATTGAACAAGTCTCATACTGCGAGTCCATAACTTGTCTGGTCAACAGCATTAAATTTTTATTAGTGACTTTACCATTATATATTTTATGAACAAGTACAAAATCAAAGCATATCTTGCAGTAAAATCATCATTAATCAGATATACGTTACGTTTGACTTCAGATGATTACCTTGATAACAACTGATAACAAGCAAAATAAGAAACACATAACAAATGGAGGTAGCTAACCTCTTCCCTAGATGAGTCAGATTCCTCTTTCTCATCTTCATCCTCTTTGCTTTTACTTCCGGATCTCTTATCATCGTCTTCATCTTCCGATTCATTTAACCGTATGCTATCCCTATTCATTAGGTAATTCCTAAGCAAATCGTCCTCCAGGAGATCGTCCAGCTCCATCTGAGATTCTTTTTGTAGCGCTTCCACCTGAAAGAACAACGACATTATGAACTCTTTGCCATGCACAGCTATAACATAGCTTGTATTTCAAAAGTTTAGATCAAATGCTTTTGTATCGTGGAAACTGCGATGCTGTTAGAGATTCATGTAACTCTAAAAGTACGGTAATACTTTGAACGAAAACGTGTTGCAGCCCATTGTCTTGTAACTATAGCATGAGGTCAGCAAACATAGAGACTGCATACAATTTGCACAGTACATAACGCCACTATGACTTGGGTTTTATCGTCATGTGCAGCTGGGAAGTTGTTTTTTGTATTAATTCATCTAAAGGCTATGGTTACTGTGGATGCGAATTTTGATGAAATTTTGTTATGACGGAGTACGTCCGAGATCCTTGTCAGAACAAGGTGGTTACACGGTGCCTGTTTTCTGACACTTTGGTAGCCTGTACATTTCTACCACCCATCAAATATGGACGAAGCTGACGAATTTTATTTCCTTGGAAGTCCTTTACTGACGTTACTGTTGTTAAACGGTGGAAAAACAGAGCGTGCCAATCCTTAATGTTCTAGTAGGGACGATAAAGGAGAATTTGAAATGTTATTTGAAGAATAACTAGACCAACCGCAAAATCTTTTTGAGTATTTCAGGATAAGTGTGATGAATGTAAATTTGTATTGCGCAATTGATGAATAATGTACCCACATCAAAATAAAAAATCACTGGTAGTGTTCTGCTGAAAAATATATTAGATAATTTATGTCTCTCATATCCCAGTGATCTGTTCTAGTATACAAGAGATATTAACTTATACCCTATTTAAACGAGTATCCCTCACGGTAGAATGACAAGCTGATTATCTAGTAATATCTCAAAATTCTCTTTATCGGCACAGGATACATAATTCTGACGGATACGTCATCGCCAGATAGTCAGAGCAGTATTTTGTTTGGGTTTTTTGTACGCTACAAATTTTGTACTTGCTAACAGCTCTTTTATTTAGGAAAAGTTCATTAGCATACAAAAAACAAAACGCCACAAACAAGTCATACTAGATTTATAACCGATTCATTATTGCCAACGTTGCAGAATAACACAAGAATGTCACTTGCTGATCAGCTGTTCACCTCAGTAGACGTCAAAGCGTGATGGATACTCGTGAAATAGGGTATACTGTTGTCCACTGTGAAATAACCAGTAAGTACTCAAAAACAGAAACAGGTCGTACGAAAAAAATAAAATCTGTATGAATGTTCAAATATTTTTGACGTCGCTGCCAGTGTAAACACGCTCAATCAAAAACAAGTTTTTGTTTATTCTGTCGAACTCATCATAACAAAATTTCGTCAGAATTCACATCCAGAGTAACTATAGCATAAGACGAATATAGGGAATGAATGAACACTCAAAAACTATTTTTTTATCGTGCTATAGAAAATATAAGAAACTATTTTATAACTGCCCAAATATTATGATATTCACAAAGGTCTAATCAAAATATGACAGCAAAGTCTCACAAAAACGCCATGTAAGAAGGGTTTTGACAACATTGTCACATTTGCGAGCTATAAGTTTTCTGAGATTTCTTGGCGAGAAAAAGTTGTTAAACGATGGAAGTTGTAATGGTTTTAGTAAATTTAGAAGAATCCCAAACACGCTAAAAAGACCACAAAACGTTACTGATGATCATTTCACATCCACAGACGAAGACCAACAGACCGACGGATTTGCTAAAGCAAAATCAAGGAGGAAAGGCGACAAGACCGATCCATCAACCTAAGACTTTCCTTCTCTTCCGAATAAAGGATCAATGCCATTTCACACCTCCCCCACTTCATCAAATCGAAACACCTTTAATGCCTCTACTATCAAATCATTGAGATCGGTCAGCGCAGGGACCACATTATCTACCTCTCAGGAGACTCCGTCGGCCGATGTTGCTTCTCCTCCGTCATCCCGTCCAGCTGTAATGGCATCAATCCAACTCTCACGTCAAGGGCGCGTAACGCCGATCATTCTAAGCGACCGGGCGAGGTGGCGTACTTTAAACTACTAGTTCATTCCCATAGGTATTAAAATAGATCGCCGTTGACGCGGGAATGAGGATTATTATTAAGAAGTGCCCCATCACTCTGTTCCTCTCCCTTCGGAACGGAACATCCATGCGGTGGTTCGAGGAGTTCCCGTTCCCGAATTTTTCGAATACTGAGATTAAGGAAGAACTTGTTGAGCAGAGGCGATATAGACCTCATTACATCATGCGATTGAAACGCATCGGCGGCGCGCCCATGCCTTTGGTGGTCGTGATACCGCCAAAGACTGGAAAGTCCCAGCAAGTATTCAACGAACACGAACTGCTGGGACTGGCCATTCCAGTTGAGGTTCAGAAGAACTCCAGACTTACTGGGCAGTGTCACCGCTACCAAAAGTAAGGGCATGCGCAGTCATACTGCACTGCATCGCCCAATGCTTAAAATATGCAAATGACCACATGACCCATTTGTGCCCCCTCACAGAAGAGGAAGAGGCTGAACATGCAAATATGTGGGATGATGTTATGTTAGATTTAAGAAGATTGGCCTGGTTCCAGCTTGATGGTTGTCCAGCTCATTATTCGAGAATAGTTAGAAACTGGCTGGACGAAAATTATCCAGAAAGATGGATCGGCCGTGGAGGAACAGTCGCCTGGTCTCCACGATCCCCTGACCTAAATCCACCAGCTTTCTTTGTGTGGGGATTTCTAAAAGAAAAAGTGTACCAGACTCCCGTAACCGCAAGAGATATGCTAATAGACAGAATCAGGAATGCATGTGATGAAATAAGGCCTTATTTGAATAATGCTATACCACGTTCGATCATTCGTAGATGTGAATTGTGTATTGAACAATTGGGTTTACATTTCGAGCAACTACTTTAGATTTTGTATGTTTGTCCTAACTATCCAATAGCATTTTAGTTGTAAATAATTAATTTAATTTGTTAAAAATAATATTGGAAAATTAAACAAATTAATATTCTGTTTTTTGTGTTTATTTGGAGTGGAGGAATTATTGCTGTGTTTAAAAACACAATGTAAACGATCATCTTAATTACTTGTAATGCCCAAATCGAAAATAATTAAAAATGCATCGAACCTTAAAAATGGAAATATCTCAAAAACGGCAAACTATAACGAAAACTCACAGGAGAGTTTTTTTATGCAGACAAGTGCGAAGAATCAGTTTTTTTATTCAAAAAGCAAAAAATTGCACGAAAAAAAATTTTTCGGTCATTTTAATACACTACAGGTACAGCAGAGAGCGCCCTCTAGAGGCTACAGTAAAACTATGGCCATGATTCGTTTTGTCGTACCAAAAAACCCTTGTATACCAATTTTCACTATTATACATCAAATATTGTTCGAAATATTTAAAAAAAAAACTATTTTAAAAAGTAAATTTAAACACCCTGTATTTCGGAAACCACGCATTTTTCGACCCATGTTTATATAGACTTTATGCATTCATTTTAAAAGTTCTATCGAATCTTAAAGTTATGCAACAATAAACTGAAACACCCTGTATATAGGAACCATCGTATCAATAATATACGAGGCGCGGGTCTAGTTGGGCCCCATTGTGGACGCTAACGTTTGTAGAGAAATAGATACAAGTTGATGTGAAATTATTGGCTCTCTCTTGCATGATAATCACCAGGAAAAAAGATGCAAACCTACCTCTCATTAGTACAACTGTATGAGTGTTAATAAGAGCACAGAGCCAGCAGAATTAAAGAAAAAAATTATTGTCATATAGATATCTTTATTAAAAATTGAACTATACTCTATTATGGAAAAGTATAATTAACATTAACGAATTAAAGACATCAACAGAATAGCTTATTAATCCTAGAGTACCAGTGGTATCCCCACTGTTACGCGACTCCTTCACCGCCATTTATACTTATTGCGCTAAATTGGGATTAATACTGCAAAAAAAAACATCTATAACCCCTTAAAAAGAGCTTATTATCATTATTAAGGTTTGGCAACAACCACATGATGAGTAGCACTGGTAGTCCAGGGTTTAAAGATAAATGTCAATTAAAATTAGCATTGCGTATTTGAAGACGATATGGTCAACTTACAGGTATAACAGAAAGATAATATTATTGATGACGAAATAATACTGCCTTTGTATATACACTTCTAATTCTAGTTTTCCTTGAACAGCAGATTTTTTAACAGTTTCATGGTGAATTTTGAGCGAAAAATACTTTTTCAAAATAAGTTTTATTAGAAATATACAGTGTCCATCAATAGGGTCATCTTCAAAAAGGTGATCATTAAAATAACCCATAATTTGTGGTGATATTGTTTGTATAGTACTATTAATTAGGATATCTAAGAGGTATTTGATATTCTTATTGAAAATATTAGTTGTTTTTTGGAAGTAACGGAATTTTTCACCATGACGGCAAATTTGAACTACCGGTACTGAGGCTACTGTCAATTCTCCAAAAGCTTTCCTTTTTTGTAATGGCATGGAAATATCGCCCTCCAAGATGCTTTTACAATTTATACAAGTAACACATTTTTGAAGACACTTTACCACAAACCCTGCAATATACGCAACAACATCTTCGGTATAAATTGTTAGGTTCCATGCAAAAGATGAGCATTGATACAGGGCTAGATGGTTTTTTATTTTATCTTCAAACTGCACTGAATCTTCACCATCGTCCGCTCTGGTGATATGATATCCACTGCCTTAAGATAAAATAGTCAGACGATCTGAGTTAGTAATATTTCCTGTTGCTGGGCCAGATATTTCTGTGTGCACCAGCAATTGTTTGTATGCCGCTTCAAATTGCCTTGCACTGGGATTATTGTTGTACCCTCCCTTACTACGAATGGCTCAAAAAAACGGCTCTAAATGGTCTTGTAATAATTTATTGGTTGAAATGTATTTTAAAACCTGCTTTTCTACAATATAGGTATTATAAAATTCCTTTAATCTATGGACGCAGATCCTAAAAACCTAAAA